GTCCTTTTATGCTGCTAAAAAAAAAAGATATTTGCTATGAACAAGTTGTGGTCTTGCAAAACTCTCTTCTAAAATCTACAGCTTAATTTCTATCATTTACCAAGACCATATCTTAACTACTGTTTTTTCCTCTTTGTTCCCAACTTTTGTATTCAAAGCATCAATATTGTCAATGCATCTTGATTACACGGTTGATAAATTTCTACCGAAGACTTTGATAGAATTCTTTGATTTCTGCATCACTGGCTTCAGTGGTTGGTGCATAAATTGGAATAATATTTGTACTATTGGAATTCTTCATACGTAGACAAACATAACCCTACCATACACAGCACTGTACTTCAAGATGGAGTTTGAAATGTCCTTTTTGATGAGGAATGCAGCACTATTTCTCTCGATTGTCATTCCCAGCATAGAAAATGGTATGATTTTCAGATTCACAATGGCCCACACCCATCTATTTCAGCTCACTAGTGCCTGCAATAATGATCTTTATGTATTCCAATGCCTTTTTGACTACTTCAATCTGCCTAGTTTCATTCTTTGTACATTCTAAATTCCAAAACTCGATTGATGTTTGCCGTTTTCTTGAAAGAAGTACAGCCAAATACACCTTAGAGGCGAGGATGGCAAGACTCCCCCTCACTTGCTTTGGACACATTTTAACAATAGAAACCTGTACTTGGAGAGGGGAATTAGCATGATAAAGTGAAGGGGCAGCAAAAAGAGGACGGCTCTCAGCAAGCTGGGGAGAACAGCACAGAACAAGTTCTCAGGACAGACTCCAGGGCACTTCACGAAAATGACAGGATCCCAGGAGAAAAGGGCCAGAACTACAAACGGTCTTTCAAAACCCAGGCTCTGCGACCCACCCAGTGTCACAAGTCAAAGATACCTAGAAGTCAATGTTGCATTTTGATCAGAAGTAGAATAGGACCATGTTGCAAAGGGGAAGAGGGATCGGGAGACTTTTAATAATCAGTCACATCACAAATTAGAAAGTTTTCTTGAGGTAATAGGAGTCCAGTTTTTGACCAGGGATTCACATATTTAAACTGTTTGAAGAAACATGAGTATCGCCTTCATGAGTACCTTAGAGAAAAGGAAGGACAGTCTGG